GAAAGGTATCCCCGTGCTAAAGCACCGCCGAGATCTATGGATGCACGCATTCGTTTCCTCGGAGAAAAACAGTCGCTAGCAAAAGACGGGTTTCTTTCTTAATTTGCAGCAGCATAAGCGAATGTTTTGTACAATCAAGCACCCAGTATCGATCGAGAAACCAGCAAATCAATTGCACGTCACTCCTGTCAACTGGCGTGAAAATAAGAGGAAAAGGCTTGTTTGTATTGAGATAACGCCGACGTGCCGTTTTTGTAGCACGCCTTTCCATACTTCATAACCTCATTTACGTTGCGAAGGAGGGAAAGCTGTGTTGCAAAACCGCATATGATAATTCAATCCCAATTCACTTGCACCCATAAATTAATCTGTTATTAGTACTAGTCTTAGCGGAGGGCAGTCGCCCAGGGCACTGTGATGAAGGGAGATGCCAAACAGAAAATATTTCGTAGAAAACTTTTTATACTTTCTTCTTTTAACTAAGCGAAGCAAAATTGCGAACAGCGCAAAGCTGTGCCTATTGTTCAGGTGATACCACAATAGCTCCAGAGCGATAAAGAATGGAAACCTTCAGCAGCCAAGGTCAGTAGCGTAAGATATGCAATCCAAAGAAATTATTTTCAGAACAGATAGTTCGAAAAATTGAAAACACAATCTTCTGTACAGACAATAAAATACCATTTCTTCCGGTACTGTAACACGACAAAGTATTACATGTAAAACACAATTTATTTCAGTGTACATTGCGGTTATCATCCTGCTTATAAAATAAATTATATCTTCATTTTGTGATGTTGTTTTTACTTGATGTTTTAGTTTTGTAAGCCATCATTTGTGCTTCATCTGACAGTAATTTGTTTTTCGTTTCCTGTTCTGGGACCAGATAATCTTTTGGGACATTCTGGATGCAGGAAATCATCTAATAAATTAGAGAATAATTGAATTTGAGTAATCAGACAAAGCTATGCAAATTCGTGCGGCACAAAAAAATCGCGTTTAGAAGTACTCAAGAAACTACGAAACTTGGCGAGGGGCACGGATGTCACGAGAACCAAACGTTTGCATAAGCCAGGCTCCGACCTAGTTCAAACGACCGCAATCAATCGTTATGTAATCTTGACGGGGCCATATTTTTTTCACAAGTTACGGGTTACGAAGTGACGGGACGAGCTCCAATGCCAGCGAGAGAGATAGGAGGGAGGGGACGTAGGGTCATGTGAATGACTCGTACTTCCGGTGTTGCATAATACACGGTGTGCTGAGGGACACCTACCTATACAAACAATATTAGTTGCATAAAAAATTGCGCAATTTCGCAGCCCCTGCACGAATCAAGAAACACTGCGTATACATTATTCTGCAATAGCGAGTTCTAGCGTTAACTGAGCTGGAAGATGAGTACCAAAAGGCATGTTTAGAAATAATTTTTAGTTAATTCTTGGTGCTACGGGAAAGAAGAAATAGCGTTGGATGAAAGTAATTCAACTTAGCCATGGGAATTTAGTGAAGGAATTATAAATAATTTAACCAGGAGATAATATTCATTTTTACGGAGGGGCGTTACAACTTGTGATGATTTATCACAGGTGGCTGCTCCCCTTTTGGAGAGGACACATTCTATCTCCGCTAGCCACACTTTCTGATACTCTTACATGTACGTAAAACTGCAAGATACAACTATAACTGTTTCTGATGTGCTCGCCATGACGACAGAACTAAAACTGAAGAGACATTACACAACATTCACACCAGACAGCGGAACAAAATTGACGCAAGTCTGTTTGCACAATATTTCAAAACTCGTTCGCTGTTTCTTCAATCAGCGTGGAAATCTTCAATATTGCCCCTACATCAATTATAACTGCGCAAACCCGATATTACGCAATTAATATTGCACGTGTGGGGGTCCTTGTATACGAATCACGACAGCCGACACGAACTACATCGGCGAAAGTGCTGACTTTATGGGCTATAAAGCCGCGTCTAGCGGCCGGCAGTTCCGCTGCACTGAGGCTGGAGCGGCGTGAAACTCAGCAGTGCCGGAACCCGCGGCTGTCTGCTTCCCTGGCGTGGTGTCCGCCAGCAGTAATGACCACCGCGACGTCCTTCCCTTTCCGGGGGACTTGGAAACGGAGGGAGTTTTATCCTCCCGAGGCCCCCTCTTTAGTGGGGGGCGGTGCCAAGGATCCACCTCAGTAGTTGTTCCTTTAACTTGTCGCCCAGCGACTACCTCGGCATACGTCTGCTAGCACAACCTCCTGCGCTCAAGCGGACAAAGCACTTCCCCTCGGGAGCGACGTAACAAAATCCCGGTCTACGTCTCTGGAGTGACAAACGCGCAGATTCCTGGACTAGATTTGCGTGAATTCCGCAAGAAGCTTGTCGCCTATATTATTATTATTTATTTCACTGCAAATGGGTTTTTACCCGGTGGCAGTGGTCCTACAATAAGACACAAAACATAAGACAACAAAAACAATAAGAAACAACAGAACAATGAGACAGAACAAAACAGTAAGACAAAAAGACATAAGACACAACAAAAACAATAAGACACAGCAAAACAACACACCACACTCAAAATAAAACAACTCATAATATTACAAAACCATATAACCTAAGGTCCTGACGCTGGTGCCCGAGACTACCGACGGCTTCTGGGCCACTATCGGTGCTCTGCAATCACTCGAGGGTGTGAATTTTCACACTTTCCCGCTCCCCCAGAGACCGATGCGTGCGCCTTATTGAAAAAACGTAGGCAAGCTGACATTCGAGAGGAGCTGGAGGCCTTGAACATCCTTGTGGAATCAGTCATGTAACTCTGGTCAAAGCGACGGAACCAGGATCCTGAGGACCGTCCCCTGCCACCGCACTTCATCGTGTCTTTGCCAAGGTGCGTGCTCTCACCGATCTCTGCAGCCTGCGAGCAAAGGTGAAGACGTACGATGCACGAAAAGGGCCTTCACTTCGGACACACGCAGCGTAACTGCGGCCATGCAACTAAGTGCGTGGTTTCCGGGGACGCGCACCCATCCCGGACGTGTGTCACCCCAAAATTGCAGCTCAAGTGCTGCAGCTGTGGAGGCAGCCAAACTGCTAACTATCGGGGTTGCAGTAAGTGGAAGGAGGTATAGGCGAACGGAAAAATGGCTTCTCCACGCGGCTAAATCGGCCCGAGCCGCCAAGCCCTCTCCCGAACAAGAGAATGTAGAACCACGTTGTCCCAGGCTGCCGTGTCGTCGAGGCTCAGGCTACGAAGAAACCTTCCCCCACTTCATCTGACACAGGAAGACGGACCAAAGGGCAGGCTGCCCTTATTTTATTGATCCATTTTAATATCATCCCACATATGCCTAGGTATCCCAAAGTTCTTTCTTTCCTTCAGGTTTTCCAACCAAAATTTTGTATGCATTTCTCATCTCCCCAATTTGTGTCCCATGTCCCGTCCATCTCATCCTCCATGATTTGATCATCCTAATAATATGTGGTAAGGAGTACAAATTACGGAGCTTCTCATTAAGCACTCTCTCCAGCCTTCTGTCATTTAATCCCTCATAGGTCAAAATATTCTGCTCAGTACTCTATTCACTAACATGCAGAATCTGAAACTTACAAATCAGAAATTATATTGCACTATTTCTGTGCAGAACTGCCAAAGCTTTGTGCTGTCACTACATTGGTATTGCTCAATACACATAAGCACTTGAGAACATTTAAGATTTGAGGTTTTCACAGCGGTGAGTATGAAGCTTTCTGTCTTCTGAATAATATTCATCGCCCTGATGACGGAGGCAGCATGACCTCTGAAACACTGGTAACCATCGACCAGACTACACAGCGCAACAACCCAGAAGACAGAAAGCTTCACTTGAGAACATACATGTTTGCATGTGTGCACACGCACACACACACATGTATCACATAAATTTTCAAAACTACAATGACTTGACTGTGGTATTACCAAATCAATAAATAAATGTTTTCCCTAGATGGCATAAATTATTTACTAATTTCATCAGAAAGATCTTAAGAGTTGTACACTTTTCAAAGATCTATCACAAACTTTGGGGTCCATATGTTAATTAGTAGTTATTACAACCACTCTGAGGTTCACAAGACTGCTGTACTTGCACTGTTGGAAATTAAAAGGTACAGAAATGGCGTCA